TTTTTTTTTTTTTTTTTTTTGAGACAGGGTCTCACTATGTAGTTGAGATTGACCTGGAACTCACTATGTAGCCCAGGCTGGTCTCAAACTCAGTGATTCTCCTGTCTCAGCCTTCCAAGTACCGGATTACAGGCATGTGCCACCATGCCCAGCTCTCTTTTCCTATTTCTAATTGACCCTGCACTCCTACTTCTTTTCCATAAAAAAACCATTAGCATCATCTGGTGTCATTGTATAATACTTAATATGCCTTTATATCTATAACTACATATAAAAGTCATAGCCATCTTTTGTATGGGGGATTAATTTGAATGTGCACACTCTGCTCATAATCACACTGAACTTGCTTTTTTCCCCCTCTTAACAAGTGTGTCTTGAAGCTTTTTCCACATTACTAAATATATTTATTCCTTCCAAGGGCTAATCTGTGTTCCACAGTTTAAATGTAACAAGCATATTCAAATGTTTTTAAGTTTAGAATATTATACCACATGGAAGGAAGTTACCTCCAATGAGATATATGCTGCATTCCTTTGCTACTTCAGAAAGCTTCTGTGTGGATTTACCAGGAATTTTCTCTGCATATTCAGGAAAATATTTTGTGCCATATGGAGAATTAAAGCATTCCTAGAATAATGTTGGCAGAAAAAAAAAAAAACCAAAAAAAATTTACCACATTTTAAAGTTCTGCTGAAAGAAGACAAAGCTGCTATTTTTAGTTCTGCCTTCACATGAACCAAAGCACAGCAAATAAAACACCTAAAGCTAATTAGAGACCACGTTGAAAGGCAGATCAGGCAACTTGCTCAGGTGGGTCTAGGGGAAGCAATTCATGTGAGCTCTACCAAATCCTGGTCACCCTGGAAAAAGGCTAGACTTACCTCTGCCTGGCGTTTGCAGAATGAACTCCCAACCTCAGGCATTGAAGCCACACTACCAATCAAGTTTACTCAGGTGACTTTGGGTATTCAGATGAATTCTTCTTAAGTGAAAAAACTGTATTGTTATCTATGTAAATCTACAAAACTTGTGTATAAAAAATATAAACGCTTTGAAAGCCATAAGGGTTAAGACATTTCTTCATCTACAACAAACTTTTTTAAGTCCCTTTTTGGCACTATCATTCGAATCCTACAAAGTACCTTATTCATTGGTAGTATGGCTATGTTCATCAGCTCTCTAACATATCAGAAAACTACAGGAAAAAATACTAGATTCCAATTCTTATTCACTCTTTTTTTTTTGTACCGGGGATTGAACTCAGAACCTTGTACTTGCAAAGCAGGAAGCAGAACCACTGAACTAAATCCCCAGCCCCTTATTAATTCATTTTGCATTTAATGATGTGACCCTATGTGCCACACACTATGCTGAGAAGCTCAAGGTTGAGGATCTCCAGCTTGCACAAGATGCATGTCAGATAATAGCTAAATCCCCAGCCCCTTATTAATTCATTTTGCATTTAATGATGTGACCCTATGTGCCACACTATGCTGAGAAGCTCAAGGTTGAGGATCTCCAGCTTGCACAAGATGCATGTCAGATAATCTGTAAAGTAAGAATGTAAAGAATTCAAGTTCTTTAATTACTAGGCTTTCTACTTTTACCCTCAGCAACATAAACCAACAAGGGACCACAATTAGGCAAATACAGGTGAGTCTTATGACTAACACCATGAGACTGGATTAACAGTAGGATCTTGAATTCCCTTGTTAAAGATTCCTACTCACTGGCTACATCTGTAGCAGGCTGAAGCCTGAGTAAAAGAAAAGGTGGCCCTGAAAATTCTCCAGTCAATCTAGTCAAGATTAGTGGACAACTGATAACTCTTACCTCCTCATAGCTGGACAGGGATGTGGTTATCTGAATAATACCAACTACTGACCTCCACAAGGCTTTTGAAGAAGTTTGGAGAAAACACATGTCCTGACATCTGGGGATCCCTCTCTGGAGCTAAATCTGCACTTTCTGACAAAAAAAATGTAGGACAACCTTCAACTGATTCCAGTGCTCAAGAAGCAACCTACAAAAGAGATGCAGAGTTCCACTGACTTTGAGAAGCTAGTTTCCTAATGTCTCTATTCAATTTTTTTTGTTATTTTAAAAAAATAAAATATTGGAAAAAATAAAATAAAATAAAAATAAAATCAGCATGTTCTCACCCTACAAAGACTCAATTTATTATAAGGCATAAAGTAAGTATCTAAGCACTGAGTATTTTATCTTGAAGTAAGTTTCTCAATGTACTAGGATTCCTTATCTGAATCGAATGATCTTAAAAACCTGTACCCATGTTCATATATCCTATGACAAAGAACCCTGCTAAGGTCTCTGTGATAGACAAAGGTAAGACAACCATCAAACAATCCTGGAACTCCAAAATACACTGCTGGACCTGGAACACAAGACAACAAGAGGTAACACAATTCTGCTAGGTCTACAAGACCTAGAAAGGATTGAATACTGTACTTACAGGCAGAGAAACTATTTGAGCTCCTTGCTTTGCTGCCTCCCGAATGAGGCTACAAGCTCGAGTGACATTATCTGATTTGATGGAAGAAACTTGAAGCTGGATGAGGGCCAAGCGGAAAGCTAAGGACAAACACAAAAGAAAACACTTGTTAAGAGATGTGATCACTTGTCACAACTACCAACAATCTAATGATCAGATTAGATTAGCTACAATAAAAAAAAACCCTGGGCTCTTGATGAAGGGTTCTTTGGCTCAGGATTAAATCTAAAAGTATGAAAACAATTGCTCATTTGTTAGTTTATCCTAAATATAAGAAGAAAAGATAATTGTAGCTTTTTTTCTGAATGTAGTTTGTCTGTTTGTTTTGTATTTAAGATTGAACCTACAGCATTCACAGAGCTACAATCCCAACACTTTTTCTTTTTATTTTGAGACAAAGTTATCATAATTTGGGTTGCTAAATTGCCCAAGCTGAGATGGAACTTGCAACCCGCCCGCCTCAGCTTCTCAGAGTGTTGTAGGTAAATGTTGGTTGGTAAACATCCTTGGAATCTGGATAAAAACAAAGAAAAACTAAAAGAGGAAGCAAAAGTGGACATTACCTTGGGACAAAAGGATACTGTGAGCTGGCATCAGAACATCGCAGAAACCCAAGGGACAAATAAATCTCAGCATGGCTATGTTGGTGGTTTCCCCTCACAGTGTCCAGGCTTGGAACTTGGGGACATTCTGCAAATCACCTACTCTGCAAATAAATCCCACCACTAAGGAGATCCACTGATCTAGTGATACTAATCACTTCATCTCATCTATAAAATGAAGACTGGATGGTTTTTGACATCCCTGCCTGCCCTAATTTTTATTATAATATCACAGTGAAACATGCACTAGAGAGAAAAAAGGTAAAATATCTTCAGTGAAAGGACCAACACGGGAACACATTTAAAGGAATACACCAGGCCCTCTAAACACAAAAACATTTACAGATAAGGAAAGCAGGTGGTGGTGGTGGGGGTTTGCACAAAATTTCTTAACAAATGACAAGCCAAAATCTGGAACTGTGAAGTGATATGGGAAGTAAGATTCACGTGGGCAGTGTTTTGTGAGGCTGGGAACGTGGGCCACAAAACTTGAAAACACCATACACAACCCACAACACCTCGCCAGTAGGTGAGCTTCGCTGAGGCAGGACGCTCAGGGGCAGGAGCAAGCCAGGGTGGCCTGGTGCTCTCACCAAGTCTTCGGTATCCCTGGTTTCTGGAGACCCCAGGAACGCGCCGGGCCACCCTCCACCACCACCACCACAGCGCACCGCCCGACCGGCCACCTGCCACCCGGAGACCGCAGGTCAGAGGGCTAAGCGCACGCTAAAGTGTCCCTTCTGGCCGCGTGCAGCGCACCCACAGCCGCGGCACTTACAGGTCATGGCCCTTCCGGGAAAGGCCATCCACAGACCGCGGGAAAAGAAGGTGGACGCACGAATGACGGGTCCAGCGCGCCGGAAGGGGCGGTACCGCTGCGGCAGAGGCTCCGCCCACCGCCTTACCGCCCCGGGCCGCGAGACTGGGGTGTTCTCCTCACCTGATTTTTAGTTTGGGGAGATACAGTGTTTTTATCGCGCTCGGGTGGATCCCAGCACCCTACACATACTAAGCATGCGCTCTGTTTACTGAATTACATCCCTGCCTCGGCCCCCATTAAGGACCAGTTGTTCGAGACGGGTAGATCGCAAAAAGATTACAATGCAGCTCGAAAAGAATATTGAAAAGGGGAGCTGTCGGTGTCGTGATGTTGTGTTGGTAAATGTTTAAAAGTGGCCTCTCCGGGATGGAAAAGTCCTGATGCTTAGTGTTGGCCTATTCTTGACTTCTTCCTGGTTGGATCATCTGTGTGGCCCGAATAACGCCGTATAGTTGACTGGCTTAACCCTTGTGAGCAAAATCTCTGTAGCTGGGACCCTGGTTAAATTAGGTATGCTAGACGACGGTGGGATTATATAAAGAAGAAAAGAGATGCTGAAGTTTCGAACACAGTGTTTTCAACAACAAATCGCCATGATATACTGAAATCTACTTGCTAGTGTTCTATTTTAGGATTCTGGCACTTCGTTGCCCCCAAACAGTCCAAACTCAGTTAATCTGAAACTGTTTCGTCTTCAAAAGAGCTTCTCCTCACAGCCCTCTCATTTTCACCACCGTTTATGCCTGGGTTTTCAATTTCCTATACTCTCCAACCCTCCACAAAAGGGGGGAAACTCAAAGCCACTTCTATGTGTTTCAAATCTTTCATTCCCACTTATGGATAGGGATAGGGCCCTTTTAACTGTCCCATGAAACATCCCTGCTACCTTTTATTTCCCATCACTTCTGTACACAGCTAGACCTTCCTCACCTTGGGGAGACTGCTACAGGCTCTTTATAACTGGTTTCCTTTCTGTAACCATTCCTCCAACCACTAATCACTCCATAGAATCAACGTCTTGGGAAACATGAGTTTTGCTTTCAGGGGTGAGGTGAATATGCAAATAAGGGACAGAGAACGGGATGGTAATTAGAATTGTAGTCATTTGTACAGAATAAGAGCAGAATCTGAAAGATGATAAAATCCAAGAAGAGAATATTATACTACTGAAAGCAAAGGATTGAACTTGGAAATTATCACACTGGGTTAGAGCTTTTTACAGGGAGGAAGGAGCCTGTGTCTGATATAAATATATATGCACCTGCATAAAGACATATAGTTATATTTAAATTTCTGATTCAAGTGGCCATAAACCAGAAGATCTGAATTCAGAACTTTGCTGACAGGTTGTGTGACTTTGGGAAAGTTAATGCGGACAGAGCAGACTACTTAACATTACAACTAGACATACCTATGAAGTAAAGCTTCCAATTATAAAGAAAAAACGAACAAACAGTGAAGTACAGGTCACTATCTCTGACCTACAGTTTCCAGGCCAACACACTGCAAAGAGAGTTAGTGTATCAGTTATGAGAATGAACCCTGGAAGTAGTAGCACTACCTCTCACCTGGGTAAGTTACAGTTCCTTCGGTGCCTATCCATAAACTGCAGATGCTACATACAGTATAGGATTATTTTTTTGATGATTATAAAACAATGTAAATGATTAAAATATAACTGGGGCTGGGAAGACAGATAGTGGCAAAAGTTCTTGCTTACCTCTCACAGCCTCAAGATCCTGGGTTTGATTCCCAGCACTGCCACCAAAAACAAAAAACAACAAAAAAAACTTGACATTGTCAAATCAGTAAATGTTACTTATTAGAAGACAACCATCCAAATTATAGAAAAATCTCTTCACTTTAAAATGTTGCCACTTAGTTAAAACTGTAGAAGACTTGCATGGCCACATAAAATGTCACTATCAGCTGTGAGCAACCAGTTTGCAATTTCTGCTGTTTGTTTTAATTCCTCTATTCAGCAAATAAAATGAGCTCCACTCAGGCACTGCTATAAGCACGGAGGATACAGCGGAAATACCTTTTATTCATTTACAAAATAGGTCAGCATGAATTTTAACTTTTTGCCTCTTCACAAATTAGTTGGAAAGGATCGAATAAGAAATATGAAAACTTTTGTATGAGAAATTGACAAGGTAAATAAGGACCAAAATGGATGATAGAGATTGGGAAATAGAAAATGTTCAAATGGGAAGGGGAACAAGAGGGAGGAGGGGGAAGGGAAGGAAGGGAAAAGGAGGAAAAAAAGAACAGAAGGGAAAAAATGGAAACAAACCTTTGTAAATGAGAAGACTTGAAGGGAGGGGAGAGGAATGTGAAACAAAAGAATCAAGATATATTCTGTAAAGGTACATATTGCCTATGATGAATGTGATCATTATGTATGTCAAAAGTGCACCAATAACAAGGGCAAGGTCCTGAGTTTGATCCCTGGCAAAAAACAAAACAAACAAACAAAAACAAAAAACCCAAGTATAACATTAATTTAAAAAAATAAAAAAATCCTAAACCAGACATGGTCATGAATTCCTATAATTCCAGCACTCAGGAAGGAGACTGTGGCATGAGTACTACCAGGAGTTTGAGGCTAGCCTGGGATACAGGAGTTTAAGGCCAGTCAGAAATACTCAATCTCAAAAAAATAAATAAATAAATAAAATTGTGAGCTCATTTGATGTCACTGAATTACACACTTTGAAATGATTTAAACAAGTCAAGAATGGTATACATACGTTTAATCCCAGCACTCCAGGAGGCTGAGGCAAGAGGATCACAAGTTCATGTTCAGCCTGGACAATTTAGCAACCCAGACCCTATTTCAAAAAAAATATTTTAAATAAATAAAAAAAGAAAATCCTAATAGGATACTAATATCCATGTCTATCAACTGTATGTACATGTGTGTGTGTGTGTGTGTATATATGTAAAATATGTTGGTGTTATGGTTTAGATTTAAAATGTCCCCCAAAGTCTCATGTTTAGAGGTGGGGCCTGCAGGGAGATGAGGTCCCAGAGGCGTGACCAGGTAGAGTGTACTCTTGTCCCTGGCTTCTCTCATCTCTGAGCTTCCTGGCTGCCATAGGATGAACAACTTTCCTTTGCTATGCCCTTCCCTCGTGCTGTTTCTGTGGATCCAACTAACCAGGAATTGAATCCTGCGAGCCAAAATAAACCTTTCCTACTTTAAAATTGCAGGTGTCAGGTATTTTGTCTCAGTGACAGGACAGTGACTAATACTGACAGTACCAAAAGTGATGTCACTGCTATGACTATTTCTGATCATGTACTTCAGAAGCCTTTGGAACTGGTTTGTGGAAGGAATGTGGAAGTTTGGATATGAAAGATAGAGAAGCCCAAAAATGTAAACAGAAACGGATGGCAATTCTAGCCATAACAGTGATAAGAATGTGCACAATAAAGGCCAGGCTTATGAGGTTCCAGTTGTGAATAAGGACTCTACTGGAAACTGCACTACAGGCCAAGCATGTTACATTCTGGCAAAGAATTTACCTACATTTTGCCCATGTCCTAAGATTTTATGTGAGGCTGAATTTAAACGTGGTGGGCAGATGGAGGAAATGTCAAGGCAGCCCAATATTCAATCTGTGGCATGGATAGTGATGACTGCTTTCTGCCAGGTTTATAGTGAGAATCAGGAGCAAAAGCAGAGCCAAATGAAGTGAAGCTTGGCCATAAAGGAAGTGCCTTTAAAGCGGGGCAATGGAGACTGTGGTTGTTGCAAAGATTAACACTAAAAAGAAGCCAGGTACTTTTTTTTTTTTTTTTTGAGACAGGGTCTCACTATGTAGTTGAGACTGACCTGGAACTCACTACATAGCCCAGGCTGGTGTCAAACTCACAGCGATCCTCCTGCCTCAGCCTCCCAAGTGCTGGGATTACAGGAGTACACTACCACACCTGCCTTAAACCAGGTACTTTGTATCAAGACAACATAGAACATTCCAGTGGCAAAGATTGTGCTATATTACTACAAATTTACTATCCTGCCAGGAAACATGTTAACAGTGGTGAGCAAGTAGAATTATTATTATTATTATTTTTTTGGTACCGGGGATCAAACTCCAGACCTTGCACTTGCAAGGCAGGCAGCAGAACCACTGAGCTAAATCCCCAGCCCTGAAATCATTCTATAAAGATAGGTAATATTACAGCTTAATGAGCAATAATAATTTCCACGGTATATCAACTAAAGAGCAAATTACAATTACTCAATCTAAGTAATCTTCTAACTTTGGTGTTATTTCAGATGAGGAAAAATAAGTTCATAGACACTGCCTAGTTCAGGTAATAATTTACCATGAGTGGACTTTAATATTATTTGCAATTTTTTAAAAAAAGAAATATCTGTTACCCAGGCTTGTCTCCAACTACTGGGTTCAGGTAATCCTCCTGCTTCAGTCTCTTGAGTAGCTGGAACTATGGGGTGCCACTTTGTCCAGAGTATAATATTAATTTTCAGTTTTAAACTATCTCTTTTCCTCTCTTAATGAACAGAAACAGGAATCCAACAGAAATGTGAAATCTAAACATCTACACTTGAAAAGAATAGTCTTTGACTTTCTAATTTTGTAGCATCTAGACATTTACAAATGGGGAAAAAGAAAAAAGAGACACTGTCTTTAAGAACAATATTTTGAGCAAACTGTACCAGTTTATTTACAATCGTAATATATAAACAGTAACAGAAACATCTTTACATTAATATTATGAAAAGTCCCATGGCTAAAATGGGCAAAAAAATGAGATATTTCTAAAGGGAATGCCAAGAAAAAGGAAAAATTGCAATACAACAGTTTTGGGGGAGTTATAAATATAAAGTATTGCACTAGGTGCACTTTCATGCAAATGTCTTCAACCACTCAAACTTCTTTTATTTAGATATAAGAATAAAACTTCTTGAACTATGCCCCTTTTATTCACTTGATTTCCAGTAAGTAAATTAAAGTAACTGGCTATTAACAGGGTACATCTAGATATTTCTATCAACCTCCCAGATATAACCTGTTACATTTTAGGACATGGCAGATTTTATTTGCTATTTCTTAAAAAGATATTTAAAATATCAAATGACTCCCAAAGTGTTTTTGGATCTCTTACTACTTAATATGGGCCACAGTAAATTAAGCTTAGAAAACTGTAAAATAACACAGATCACTTCAGTTTCGTCACATTAGAAAGTAAAAAGCCTTAAAGCAATAAAACTTTAATGGAAGATTAAACCAAAAGAACAGAAAGAAAACAGAAAGTGGTATAAAAACAACTGAAATTCACTCAGCTGCCTGCTTATTTGGCTTTTATTTAAGTGGATATTAGTGTGGTCACAGTTCATCATCTCAGGTAAATCAATGTGTGCTCAACATTTGTGTTGAAATAATCTAAATTAAATAATTCACTCAGACAATTAAACCAAACAATTTTGTCCCCAAATGCTCATTTTAATCTTAACATGCCTACCTGCTCATTATAATATTTTCAATTCCTCCTTAGAAACCATAAGGATGAAATTTAGTATTCCTGAAGCACTTAGTACTCAAATAGTTACCTAGTGGAGCAAGGATGACTTAGAAATTGATGGCTGAGTGTATCACTAGCTGAACTGTATTTTTAAGTTGGTTGGAATCTTCACTTCATTAAAAAGATTACATTCATTTTAAGAACTGAAACAGTGAACTAATTATTAACCTATGTTTTTAGTTTCTGATATTGCTCAGTGGGTAAAACTAAATTAGCAATTAAGGAAGTCTCTTCAACTAATTCTATCTCTAATTTTCAGTGAAGACATTGCAAATATATTTGTACGGTTGCTTTAAAACCTGAAACTGATGCAGGTTCCCTTAAAACAGCTCTTCAAAACAGAACTGCATTCTGCACCCTTTAATCCATAAGGGCACGAGGACAATTTCTTCAAAGTCCTTTAATAATTGACCTTTATAATAAATCATTTTATAAAACTGAAAAAGAAGTTTTAAAAAAAGTTTAACTATCCAGAAATTGATTGTAATAATTTACACTTAGACACACCATTCAAGCACCCGCATAAGCAAATGAAAGGTCTCTGGTTAGTATTCAGTCAGTAAATATATGTTCATGTTTCTCTTGGCTGTATTAATTTAAGTAATTCTCTTTTAATATTAACTTTCCAACGCATCCAAAACTTTCATGATCTGTTGTTTTATGGCTCTGGTAGCATCCCCTGCATTTGGAATCAAATACCTATGGAGGAAAAACAACATTAATGTAGTTCTTTGCCTTCAGAACTTAGCTATCAATTTTCTTCCTTTCTTTCTTTTTTTTTTTTTTGGTATCAGGGATGGAACTTGGGACTTCGTGCTTGCAAGGAAGGCAGTGGAACCACTGAGCTAAATCCCTGACCCTGAGATATCAATTTTTTTGTTTGTTTGTTTTTTGGTTTTTTTTTTTGAGATAGGGTCTCACTATGTAGTTGAGACTGATCTGGAACTCACTATGTAGCCCAGGCTGGTCTCGAACTCCCAGCAATCCTCCTGCCTCAGCCTCCCGAGCGCTGCCTGAGATATCAATTTTGATGGGAAGATTTCTCTGACCCATAAAGCCAGATGAGATCTTCTCCCTTGTACTTTCTATACTTATTTCAAAAGATATACCAAAACTTATTTTGAAAGAATAAACATAAAAATAATGTGATTCTTCACACAATGCACAGCCAAAATTCTCTTTACTATTACTAAATATACATAATAGCTAGATAATACAAGGCAACCAAATATAATATTTGGTGCCCACCACAGATATAATCAGCTACAAAATCATAATTTGATGGTTTCTAATTCCAAACGACAATTTCTATACATAATAGTTTGATCTTGAGTAAGTAACTTAAAATTCCCTAAAAACAGATTCACATACACATAGTAAGTACAGTTACCCCAGTTATTTACACAGGATTATGTACACTCAAAAATGTTACAGGGTGCTCGCTTCGGCAGCACATATACTAAAAAATGCTACAGGATCTGAAATACTTTTAAATTAAATGCATAATTATTAGAAAATATTAACAACATAGATTAAATAATAATTTTCCTTTCCAAGAATATAAAACTACTATTTTAACACTTTGTATAAAATCTAACAAAAACTCCACTACATATTTCATCTGTAAGTGGCATATATACAGGACAGAGAATTGTACAAGCTAAGAACAAGGAGAGGGTAAGGGAATCTGGTTAATTTATCTTCAACTATTATGACTATCTTTCAAAACTTTGGATTTAAAGTGCTTATCTACATATAAGAAAATTCAATCTCTTTATTAAAACTTATAGCAAAACCTTTAAAACATATTTTTCCCTCATACTGGGAAACAAACTCAAGACCTTGTGCTTGCAAGCTCAGCGCCACTGAGCTACATCACTGGCCCTAAAACATAATTCTTCATTAGTACTATACATGAGGCATAATTCAAATAATTCAAATTTTTTTAGGATTAACTGATAGATATTAAAATTGTATACTCTTCGTCCCACAGAGAAGAATAACTGGACATGTACATAAGTATGGATTTAAGAAAAGGTTTATTAGAAATGTATTAGCAGTGAAACTGGAAAAAATCTAAATGCCAAAAGAATCCCCTGAGAATATCCATATAAGAGAATATCAACTATTACAAAGTATTAAAATGTGAATATATTCATTTATTTTAAAAATCAGACTACAAAAGCTTATGTCAATTTAGTTTTTAATATATATATACACACATACATACGTATAGAAAACTATGTTAAAAAAGGTAGTCACCAAAGTTAGGATAGGATTTAGAGGCCATTTTTTTATTTTTCTATTTTTATAGTATGAATATATTGCTTATTAATATTAAAGAAATTTTTGGGCCAGGGATTTAGCTCAGTGGTGCCCAAGGTTCAATCCCCGGTACCAAAAAAAAAAAAAAAAAAAAAAAATTTTTTTAAATCGGATGAATATATCATTTATTATCATGTTCAAGAAATTTTTACTTTTTAAAAGCAGATATTGGGGAGAAGGGGAGAGAGCTTGTAGCTCAGCGCAAAGTTTCAATTCCTAGTACTGCATGGGCTGGGGTGAGGGGGTTATGAAATTAGCTATGGCATTAACTGAAATTATGTACTTATGGCTAAACCATATTAGACTAAGGATTGGAGAGAAAAAGATAGCAAGGAATACTATAAAAGTGTTTCAAATATTCTATTCCACCAACCATTCCTCAAAACAGAGGTAAAAATGTGCTTAATAATGACTTGCATAATTCAGATAATATTATTCTAGGAAATATCTTACCTTTCAATAGCCAAGATTTCTATTCCTGAAGCACTGCTGTTTCCATATTTGAAGGTAATTAGCTCAGGATGCTTTTTTTTGGATGTAATTTTAACTACAGAATTTAGTGCTTGTCGAGACTGTATATAAGCCAATCCTTTCCGGGAAACAATCTCCCTTAAACAGTACATATGTGTTGCAGTAACCAACAGATGACTTGAGCGAGAAGAGCATTAAAAGAAAAAAAGAATACTATATTAAATATAATTCAAGAGATGTTTCTTTAATAACCCCAATTATGAAAAATGTTCATCTCTAAATGAAATTAGTTAAAAAATATAAAAAGGATAATCTATAAACTATATGCCTTTTAACTTTTATATGAAATTATTATTTTATTAATGTAATTCTGCAATCATATATATGGTATAATACTCTAAATTCAATATAACATATAAATCATTAAAATAGTAATTTATGATTAATTTTAATGGGATTATCTATATTTAAAACTATTCTGAGTCAACACAGTATAGTCTGTATCTAATATCAAAGATCACTAGGCAGTAATTGGGCTTCCCTACATACTTTATAATATTCTGTGACTGGATCTAAAGACAAAAGGACCACAGAATTATTAACATCCAGAAGGAAACATAAAAGATAATTTGGAGATATTCGAAAACCGAGTATGATCTACGTTGAATGGTATTAGTTTTTTCTTTCTTTTTTTTGGTACCAGGATCAAACTTGGGCCCTTGTGCTTGCAAGGGAGGAGGCAGAACTACTGAGCCAAATCCCAGGCCTGAGTGGTACTAGTTTTTAAACACTTTAGTTGGGGCAATGACACTGGAGTTGTGAAGAATGTTCTTATTCTTGGGAAATTTATGCTGAAGAACTTAGGTGTGAAGTGTCACATCTGTAAATCTTTTGGAATAGTTTGACAAAAAAGAAGCGTATAGGAGTATGTGTGCATAAAGGGAGTGGTGTGAAAAGTTTAACAGTAAGTTAATCTAGGGGTGTTCAATGTGCTATTTTCAAAATAAAAATTACACAAATATTTTAAAAATCAAGACAATACAAGTTGAAAGAAAATTTTATCTTATTATACTTAGATAAAAGGTCTTTTCAATTCAGTTTTATATTATTAACTTCTACAAATTCAATTATACTTCTAAAGACATCTTTTAAAGTACCTAGGAAACATGTGTCCACTTTCTTTCACTTCTTTACAAGGAAAATGATGCTTGATGTCTGGCTTGTTTATCCAAGTCTGAATGTTTACAACCTCTTTTCTATCATCATCTGACATTGAAGAACTGTCAATTTCATCTACAAAGAATTAAAATATTAAAAGTGGATATTGTCAACTTTAAAAATGGTACATTTCCTAAAAACATAAAAAAATTTCAATTTGAACCAATGGGTTTGAGGGACAAAAAAAAAATTTACAACTCAGCTATGCAATTTCCTTAAGGCATGGATACTAATACAGAAACATTATTATGAACATCTCTTTATACGGTAAGAAAGTTGGGTTAAAATATTAAGAATACACTTTAAAATCAATCCTGGGATAAATAAAAAAATCTTTTTTAATGAGAAAAATATAAAACATTCTAATTGTGTTTTTGAAACTTAACAGAAGAATCACAGTCACTACGGTTAATACAAATGTTGTCTTGGCTTTTTAATAAATATTTTACAATATGGAGACATAACAATAAAGGAAATGTATCCATCCTAAAAGTGAAACCTATATAAATCTCTCACTACCCACATCCTTTTCCCTTCCCCGTATTTGGTGTTATCAGTTCTGTACAGATCTTGTCTTTAACTGTATATGAATGTTCCTAAATTATATACAGTAGTGTTTTTCAGTTCCAACAAAATGTTTATAAAAACTAGACCAATTACTTGTATTCTTCTGCAATTACTACCCTATCCCAACAATGTTAGATTTGTGCCCATTGATACACATAACTCTAGTTTTTTCCATTTTCACTGCTGCCTAATTCTCTATAGTGTAAAGTATGTGATAAATATGGTAATATGTATCATAGATACGATATATATAAATATGATGAATGTAAATACTGTATACTACAATTTTATTCATCCATTATTATCTTTCCTTTTTCAGTGGAGGAAGTTGAGATATTCAGAGAGAAAAAGAGACTTATAACAGGAACATGGCAACAAAGAAGGAAAAAAGAAAAAAAAGAATTAGAAATATAATTTAGAATTCAGAAAGAGTGATTTTGTAATAACTTGAAAATATCTAATGTGTTTCCTCCTCTAATCAAACAGTCTTAGTGCTAAGAGTTTACCCTTTGGATATATTTTTAAAAGGTCATCTAGGGCCGGGGATTAGCTCAGTGGTCCACCACCTGCCTCACAAGGGCAAGGTCCCAAGTTCGACCCCAGCTACCAAAAAAAAAAAGAGGTCTTCTAATCATTTGTGTATACTACTGTTTGAGACAGAAAAAACTGGGAACCACTAAAGTGAATCAGAAAAAGACTGATTAAATAAATCCTGGTATATGATAGAAAAAGAATGAGATAGGGGCTGGGGATTTAGTTCATCGGTTTGGTGGCCTGCCTTGCAAGCCCAAGGACCCGAGTTCAATCCCCGGCACCCCCCAAAAAAAAAAAAAAAAAAAAAAAAAAAAAAAGAAAAAAAAGGGG